GTCTTGTCGGTTGTTGACAAAGACACAACGCTGCCAAAATTGGCCGAATTGGCTGACCAATTGTTTTCATGCTACGGTACTAAGCCCTCTCCTTCAGTGCAATCAGCAGCCATGACCTCAAACACACAGACCGACGCTGAAGCCCTGAAGCAACAAGTTTCAGAACTTTCTCTACAGATCTCCCAAATTTCCGCCAAACTAACTCACCGCTCTCGCTCAACTTCACGCTCTCATCCTACACGTTTACGTTCATCCTACAACCGTGACGAGTCTACATGGATCTGCCGATACCATCGAAAGTTTGGCTCAAAGGCACGTAATTGTGTCAAACCCTGTAACTTCCATCGTCAACAAGGAAACCACAAGGCCAGACAGTAACGGCGACAACTGTTCTTGACCCCAACGTAAGCCGCCTTTTTTACGTTATAGATAACCTGACCCACAAGCGTTTCTTAGTCGATACTGCTGCTGAAGTCAGCGTCTTACCTTCTTCATCTAAGGAACGTCACTCAACCACGGCTCTTGCACTTTGTGCGGCAAACGGGTCTCGAATCCTCACTTATGGCAATCGTTCCATGACGCCTAACCTAGGTCTTAGACGCACGTTTCGCTGGGTACTTTTAATAGCCGATGTACAAACTGCTATCCTAGGGGCTGATTTTCCCACACACTTTGGTCTTCTAGTAGACGTGAAAGGTCGCAGACTGGTGGATCAAGCAACCAATTTGAGCGTCGCTGGAATCCAGTGCTGTTCAAAGCCTCCTGCAATCAAGGTCCTCACCCCCGATTTAGCTGGCCCATATGCTGCCCTGATCAAGGAATACAAATACTTATTCCAACCTTTAGCTTTTCCAACGCAACTGCATCACGAGGTCACACACAAGATTCTCACCACCGGAAACCCTGTGTCATCGCGTCCTCGTCGTTTAGCACCAGTCAAGCTGACTACAGCCAAACGTGGGTTTGAGCACATGCTCGTGTTGGGCATTATACGTCCATCTAGTTCTCCTTGGGCATCACCACTTGACATGGTGGAGAAGAAGACCAGTGGCGAT